GAGTGAAGGCTGAATTTTTGAGTGAAGTATTTGGGGAACTTACTTCTCAATTTCCTTCTTAGCTTTCTTGCTCAGCAAATCCATTTTGGTCATGATGTTGATCTGTGGAATCTCTAAGGATATCATTGCACTGAGTGCTGCCAGAACTCCAGAGATAAACTTAAAGGAATATAAAAAAAGACACATTTAAGTACAAAGACAACACCAACATACAAGAGCCGTAGGTCATTCTTCTCCCTAACTGCTCACTAGATAGGTGACAATTGCAATCAGAACCCCTCACTTCCCCAATCCCAATTAACATTTTTCACACTAAAAACAAAATAATAATAAAAAACAGTTCCCTGTATTACTTGGATTTATTTTTCTCTACTAATATGAACTTTTAAAATATATTTCAAATGGATACCTTAAAAGATTCCACCATAAACTGAGAATCAACAAGAAAAACTCCGCAGACACGGAATTCCCACTGCTGAAGCTGCTCCACCAGCTGTTTCATCACTGGTAAATGCGTGTAGAGTTCGATCTGACCTAGGACACACTTGGAATATTACTATATAGCAATGTAAAGCCACCACATAATGAAGCATAGTCTGGTTCACAGTTACTGATTATACAAATAAGGGCATTACTCTTAAAATTAATAAAAGGTATTACAAAAAGCAGGATCTTTCTTTTCAGACAGTTCTGACTGATTTGGATAAATATATCCTGGAGGGATGGAAGAAAAAGGTTTTTCTTTTCCTTTGCTGACTGCCAATTAGCACTTGTAGTTGCTGTAGCATTCCCACAGCTGTCAGAAAGCTGTGCAGCCACCCAGATTAATCAGGATCAAGTTCCTTAATGAAACATCAGGAAGTGGCTGCAACAGCTGTTTACAACACAAAAAATGCCCAAGTGATTGTGACCAGCAAAAATATAATTTTATACCACATATAAAAGAAGACATTTGAATATGCCGAGTAAATTAATTATGTTTGTTTACCTGGGCAATCAAACAATATATAGTCATCCTCCACATGACCAAGGCTTTCCTCTAGCCAGTTAAAATTATTGGCAAAGTATTCCATACAGAACACCAAGCCGCCATTGGGACCAAACCTTAAGGAATCATCTTCCATAACATCATCCACTTCTATTAGCTCGCGGATGTCTGAAATGAGACACACAACGTTTCTAGTACATTGTTTACGGTGCTGCACAGAGGCCGGTGACTGTTACATGCTCAAACCTTACAGGACTCTCGTGTGAACCCCACGTACGGAAAGGAGGAGACCTGACAGCTCAGATGCCATTTCCCACCCAGAAATCTCGCTGTTTTCCGGTGCCGAGGGTCTTCACGCCATACCAAGGTAGGAAAGAGCATCTTAAACTGCAGTCACAGCACACCCTGTTCCCTACCTGTGCTGCCCAGCCACGCACATACACGCATATACGTGATATACATATACACACACGCATAAGCTACCGTAAGTACATGCAGAATGCCAGCGCTCGCATTTAGCGCGGGGCACGTCCCGCCTGCCGGCTCGGATCAGAGCTCCCCGCGGGCCTGGCGTCCCGCCCCGCAGGGCTCCCCCCGAGCTGGGGCCCGGCCCTACCCGTCCCG